TATAGTATACAGAACACTAGTCCTGCCAGATGCACCACCACAGTGGAGCAAGATTAGTCACCATTGAGCTACTAAACCACTCTTACTGCTTCACAGCCTTCATTAGCATAGCAAAAGCTCAAAGAAGTTATGTTATAATGAAGCTAGCTAATTCTCTATCTCTTCCACCCTCCCCTTCCCAGCCCCTCCTTAAATGATACCTAGTAGGGTTTATAGACTCAAGAAAGTCTGTTTGGGAAATACTGGTCGATCAGATAATCATTAAGTCCCTTCTGTATGTTTATAGGCAGTACAGGAAAAGCAAGTTATGCTTGCTTTATGGATATGTGCTTCTTTTCTAAAAAAATCCTTCTTCTACTTAAAATGTTTTCTTTCTCTTTTCTCTGTTATTTGAAATATCTCCAATTAGATGTGTTTGTCTTATCAAGCATACTGTTTTAAAAATCCCTAATTTGAACCTACTCCCTAACAAAGGCATATGGTCAAAGGCTCAAGGAAGGGCTACCTGGATATGTGAGAGAGAAATAGAAGGTTATGTGAGGTAATGCTGAAGAGACATTGACCCTGTATGAAATATTATGTACAATGTATTCCCCAAGGAAAAGTGTTGTTGTCCATATGGCTTAAGTAGGCTGCTGTGGACTTCCTTGGAGCCTAGATATGATTTACAACTTTGTTTTCCTGGAAAATTGCACTCAACATTCCAAAAAAGTCAATTTACTAGCAAATATTTGGAGCATAAGTTGTAAATTGGGTACTAGTAGTCCATAGATTGACTCAGAAGCTCAGGGAATAGAAGCAACCGTATCCTGTGTTGGTCTCAGTGCACTATCTTGCTTTTTGCAATAAGCCCTTTGCCTTCCCAAATTCTGAAAAGATGGAGAAAATGATAGAACAAATGTTTCTGTGACAATATTTACAGACTCTTATAAAACATAAAGGAACATAGAAAAGCCCTCATCAAGAATTTCCCTAGGTTACAGTGAAGTTTTTATCTTCAAAAATATTCCTTCACAGAATAAACAAACTTACTATCTTTTCTCCTAAAACATGTACAGAATATCAAGAATTTCATTTTTCTTTGGCAGTACTGGGAATTTAACTCAGGCCCTGCTCTTACTAGGCAAGCTTTCTACTGCCTCTACTCTTTTTGCTTTTAGTTTGTTTTTCAGATAGGATCTTGCACTTTTGTGAGGCCAGCCTCAGATGGTGGTCTTCTTACCTCCACCTCCGGAGGAGCTTGAATTCTCAGCAATGTGCTTAGCTTGTTTTTTGAAATAGCATCTCACTAACTTTTTGCCTGGATTGGACTCAAAGTACAATCCTCTTATCTCAGCAGTTTGGTTTTTGATCTTGTTATTCTTGTTATCTTGTTATTCTTTTCCTTTTTCTTCTTGGAGTCCTTTGCGTTTCTTGGATCTGGGGTTTATACTTTGGAATGATTATTTTTCAATTTTTTTTTGTTCCACCATCGGTCTCTTCTACTTCTGGGAGTTCAGTCTTGTGTATATTATACTGCTTTATTTTATTCCAGAGATCAAAGATACTGTGTAGATTTTGTCTTTTTAGGTTTCTTGCTTTGTTTCTTTGACTACTTTCCATTGCTATGTCACCAAGCTGACTGGCCATTCCTTCAGGATCCTATCTGAGGTTAGTAGTAGTCAGCGTGTTGTCATTTCAGATAGAAGTTACATTTGGGTCCTGCACATAGCTTTCATTTCTGCTCATTATGTTCACGTCTTTACCTTCTTGACCATATGGAGCATATTCACAATAATGGTTTTAATTTCCTTGTTTGGTAGTGATGGAAACAGACCACTGTTGCTTCATGGTCTGTGTCTATTGAGTGATTTTTATCCCATGTACAGGACGCATTTTCTTATTTCTTTGTGTGCATAGTAATTTTTGACTGGATGCCAGTAATCACTATTTTTAATCTCATTGAGTACAGGATTTGTTTAAATGCTTTTGTATAGTGTGTTGGATTTTTTTTCCCTAGCTCACAATCAAGGCACTTGGACTCAGTTTGATTAGTTGCAGAGTTTTTAAATCTTTGTTGGAGTAATACATCTTGGTCAAGGAATAATTTAGACTCATAACTAATGCTATCCTTCTCATGATCTTATGTTAACATGATGCCTTACTGAGGTCCTGTGTATTACAAGGCTTTTTCCATCAGACTAGTCAGAATACAAACTATTCGCAGCCCTATGTTTGCTCCCTCCACCGTTTGACCTACTGTTCTTCTCTGCTTCTAATTTGAGTCTTGCATAGTTTCGTCTCACTACACGTTCTTCAAAACTCAGCCACAGATCCCACAGATTCTTATGAAGTTGGCCTCCTCACTAATGTGATTTTGTCTCTTCAGCTCAATGCGATCACTAAGGCTGAACTTGAATATTTCTTAGTTATATTGCTTTCTGAAATCTGTTACTTGACAGTAAGCTGGTGCAATCATAGGCATTTACTTCATTTATCTTCAGTCAAGGATCACAGTACTTTATTACTCCTTATTAAGTGTTAGAAGACCACTATATATCTATATATCTATATACATATATACATATATATATATATGTATATAGATATATAGTTTGTCTAAGTTTCTAGTTGTTTAATACTTTGTAGTAAATCTGGCTCTTGTATTTCCATCATGGCTACATGAATGATATTCTTTTAACACTGAAAATAAAGCCCAACCTCTATTCTTTACTAAATTAATCATTTATCTTTGACATTCATGAAATGAAGCTCAGCTATAAATAACTATAATATTAACTTGTTTATAACCTTTATTTGTGGAGATGCCTGGGGCATGAGAGGAGTAACTAATTTATATTTGTCCAAGTTCATGTTTTTCTACAATTGCCCAGTTGGAACTTAAGACAATGGATCTAGGATTTTTAACAGGTCTGGATTTGTATTCATATATCTAAAGTTGGTGACTGTGTGTTTAATGTCCTCAGGTATTGAAGAATGACACCCACGTATTTTACTGTCTTTGTAAGAGCTTGCTTTTAATAGGGACTTGTTGACTTATATTTCTAAGTAAAGACATGAGAGAATAAAAGAGTCTGTAAATGTAGGACGTGAAAAATTCCCAAAATAATTTTCCCTGCTTCCTTTCCCTAAACATTGTCTAAATGGACATTACTGAAATGAATCACAGCTAAGTTTACTAATTGCATCTTTTAATGGGACTACCAATTTTTGACATTTTGCTTACTTCAGATCCCTTTACTCTTTCTTTCAGTTCATCCCTATGCCATCCTTTCCTCTAAAAGTGATATATATGCTTCTCTAAACCCCTTTACATTACCATATTCACCATCACCATTCATGTCTCCATATTTTCATTCCATGCTTTTTAATATCTTTCTTTGTTGGGTTGTTCTTATGTAAGGTTCAGGGCAGATACCATCAAGTAGTCTAACTTTGTCAAGTTATTTGCCTGACATATATGTACATTTTTGTAATGAATGAATGAAATAATTAAGACAAAATATTCCTTAAATGATTTGACTTTGTGTCTTCATCCCTAGAAGTCAAAGGTAAGAATTATATACTGGATAATAGTGTGGAGTGTAGAATCTGACTCTTGGGACTTTTGGATTCAAATCCTCATTCTATTCTCTAAATAATTGTGTAGACTTAGCTAAATTACTTTTTCTTTTTGCTTTGTGGCTCAATATCTTTATATCTATATTATAATCACAGTTCTACTCTCATGGGGTCATTGTGAGAATTTGGTGAGATATTGCATAAAGTTCTTAAAATAGCATGCACACACTCTAAAAATAGGAGCGATTATTGTCAGCAGGAGCTATTTTTTAAAAATCAAGTTCACTGATTTTTCAACTCTGCAATTCAATTGTTCCCTCAAGTTTCTCCTAAACTTATAAGAAAGATTGTCCGAATGTGACAGAATTTGAAAATTATGATTTTTATTATATCACATAAAATAAAGTCAATTACACCAAATTGTCCAAATACATTGGTGAATTAAAGTCTCCAACACTTACAAATTTTATACATATATATATGTATACATATAAATACATACATATGTAAAAGATATATATTTTCTTCTAAAATAAAGTGCCCAAATCTTGATATATGGTGGCATAAAAGGAAAACAAGAGTCATAAAGTTTATCAGTTACAGATTGTTCTTTCACAAAACAAGAATCCATGTTATACACATTTATTCAGGTATAATGAACCTTAATCACCCATTCTTTTCTGAATTCTCCTAAGTGAATTGATTTACCCAAAATATTAAAAAAAAAAGTCATATGGCCAACTTAGCAAATCAGAATCTGACTGTATGCACAGAGTCTGGTTTCCCAAAAACAGGATAGTTAAGCTCCATTCTTAATTTTCCTGTTGTTTGAACTGTTTTTTGTTAAGGTGTTAAACAGAGAAAGAAACGAATTAGATGTCTCTAACTCTAACTCCTCTAGTCACATGCAATAAAGGTAAGGTTTGGTGAAAAAATTCCCAATATTTTACACCACTCTGGGCTGGGAAAGAAAAACCATAGTATGATCTGAACTGTAGTCTTGTTGCTTCTGTTACAATTAAACTCTTGTTTGAGACAAGGAAGAAGAATTAGAGTGTCATAACATCAGATCACTCATGGACAGAACGAACTCAAATTCAAACAAAGAATTACAGTGAAAAACCTTGGTGAAAACAAGTTGCAAATTAAAAGCAAAGAAAGTGTTAAAGAAAAGCTACATGATGTAAGATAATTCAGAAAAATTCTCATTTTAGATAGGAATTAGAATTCTCATCCCTGTTTTAATAGCTCAGCTACCCTTCTGGTGTATTTACTGTATTTTCTTCAGTCTTAGATATTTGTGATGATTATTTGTAGTCTTTGACAAGAAATCAAATTTTAAAATGCCTTTGAAATGATTTCAACTTATTTAAGCAAGGTAGAGATGCCTAAGAATAGCTTAGTAAGAACCCAGACATTTCAGAATCTCTGGTGGTTGCACCCTCAGACTACATTACAATGGACCTTATGCAATCAGTAAAGAGAGAAATTGTCAGCACTAAAATTGCATAAGACACTCTAAAACTTCCCAACATATGAGAGACGGAGAACAATGGGAAGCCCAGGCATTTCCCAGACTCATTTTTGGAAGGGAAAAAGAAGAGCAAGAAAGGGTTGCCAATTACCCAACCTGCCTTGGCAGGGCCTCTGGAAGAACAGAGGAGCTTAACTACTGATTTTGGTGAGCATCTTATTGATGGCTTGTTTGACGTGTGTGGTGGAGCTGCGTCGCCTCGTCTTGCCCTGCACCATCTTCCGGCGACGCACCTCTCGGCACAACTCATAGAATATTTCTGTGATGTTGCCTTCCCCAGTGCAGGCAGAGCACTCATAAAAAGCACATGCTAATTCTGTTGCCAGTTTCTCCCCTTCTTCTGTACTCACTTGTCTGGAGTGGTCCAAGTCAGCTTTGTTTCCAACCAAGATGAGAGTCACGTTCTTGGGCTTTTTGATCTCATCTAGGATGTTCTTCAGTGGCAACACTTCTTCAAAACTTCCTCTGTCAGTAATGTCATAGACCAGCACAAAGCCTTCTCCCCACCGCATGTGTCCTTCCCTCTGGATGGTATCTTCCTGTTGGTAAAGAAAAACAGCAGTAGGAAAACCTACATCTAATCACAACCTTTAGACACTGCTAATGCTACAATAATCCCTTAATTACTATTCTTTCTACCCACTTTTACTAAATGTCTTGGTTGTTCGCCTGGACAAGCTTACTTTCTCAGTTAGTTTATAATGGAAGCATTACTTACTCATATGAAGATGTTTTAGGGAACTGAAAAGTTTCTGACTTCTTAGACTTTAAACTTCTACATATAATTTTTTTCTTGCCATGCCATTAAATCTATAATCAGAAGAACTATAAATAAATGGTAGTCTTGCTTGAGCACATCATCTTTGAGAGTTTTCATCACAATTAAGGAATTAGTACATTGCTAACACAAGTAGTCCTTAGTCTACCTTTGGTTACCAGAATGAGCACCAAAGTCACAAGATAACTTTTTTCATTTGTTTGTTTTCATCTCTTCTCTGTTCATTTGTTTGTTTTCATCTCTTCTCTGTTCAGATTATAGGCAACTCCACAGGGACAGAAAAACTGACAAATTGTATAAAGTTCATCTTTAAGCATGGGGTTTTGGTGCTTTTTTCCCCTGTATATCCCAAGTATATTATGTGGTTCCAATAATGATGGAAACCCACTTGAAGTGATTCTCAAAGGGAGTGATTACTCCTTCATAAGAAGTTAGCATGTATGGTTTGAAAAATCATTGCTTTCACAGGTTTGTGTGGTTTCTGAAGGCTGCTACCCTCTTGTGTACTCAGTGCTCCATGAAGGTCAGAGTGTAAGGGGCAGTGATGAAAAGAACAAGTGAATAATTCATCTTAAGAACATTTCTTAGATTAAACACTTTGATTCAAATCTTTTTGGTGAGCCAAAGATCATTGATAAAGCACTGCAGAAGTTTTCAGCTTCTTAACTATTATTGCAGTGGTCATTCCTATATTTGGGAACTAAGTTCACCTATTAATGGTTTTTAAAAAATTTTTGGTGGTACTGGGGTTTGAACTCAGGGCTTCGCACTTCCTAGGCAGGAGCTCTACCACTTGAGTTACATCCCTAATTCAATGAACACTTTTGCAATCTCAGATCTACCTGACCTCGAGCATATTTATAAAGCAAGTATTACAGAAGAGATTCCCAAAATAAAGTATTTTGAAACAAAAGAAAACAAGAACCCAAACTTAGATGTGTTCATAGAAGTTTGGAATATAATATATGCTAAATTCTGCTCTTAAAGATACATGTGTATACTAGAGGCTCTGAAATTCTTTTAGTAAAGACACTTTATCTGAGCATTTCAAAACACATTTGACTAAGAAACTCTATTAGTATCTTTCCACATCACAAAATATAGGTGGGAGATTCTAACCTAGATGATATGTGACTATTGTAGTATTTTCAAAACCCTCTTAAAGTTTGGGAAAGTTTACATAAAGATGCTGCTAGGAGCTCCAGTTGCGCAGTTAGTACTTATACAGAATGCTGCTAAATATTTGTTATATATATATGATGGCTAGATAATTTACTTGATGCACAAAATATTTAGCTGAACTCCTACCTGACCAGCAGTATCTAGGATCTCCATGGAAACAACTTCGTCGTCAATGGTTGCTTGGTGTCGGTAGGTTGACTCTGAGGGAATGAACAAATAAAGGAACAAAGGTAAATGAATGCAAGATTAAATTTGATCTTGAAAATGAGAAATTAGGTGTGGGAGAAATATTTCCATCTTTATAGCATAAAGGACTGTGTAGTCTCGGGAAGACAGGATGGAGGTGAAGAATGCAGCACCCTTGTACTGCAGAACTCCTGGCAGTAGCAAGTTCTAATAAGAAGGGCATCAACAGGGAATAGCATGGGGGAGTTCTCTTTGCCACCTTGCTCTTCTGTTCTTTCCTCTTAAGGTTTCATCTTAATCTCCTGTGAGTCCATCTAAGTGAAATGAAGCCTCTGCATTCCAAGATGAGAATGTGGTTTCCCATAAAATGCATTTTTCTTTGATGCTCCTAAAATTCAGTTTCTGGAAATCACTATAATTTATTTTCCTAACAAGGTTATATACAAATAGGAACTATTATTTTCCTTTGAAACTTCAGTTCTGGAAATACAATAGACATTAGAAGGAAGTAGATAGATCTTATCAAATCATGTGAAACCATGAGTAAAAGGTGGTTGTGCCCCAGTGTTTGGTAGTTGGTGAGGAACAGTAATTCAAAGTAAGAGAATGGCTGAGCTGCATGGAGGGGGAGATGGAGCAATGCATATTTCTCTTATTCACATTGCCTCTTCAGAGCAGAAAATCACTGCTTAGTACCAGCTAGAGTATGGAAAGGTTAATACAGGGTGATAACCAAGCCTTGAGAGGGGGAAGAGAAGTCAGAGGGTTTAAGGAGACTGGGTGGCCCTAAAGATGGCCCTCATCACATGCATGGAAACCAGAGGTTAAACAAAGCACCGACTGGTTAAAAACTAGGGCTGAAACAAGAGAATAAATGAATGATTGACTGAGCCTATGAAGCCAGATTGAGGAACTCACTTGCAAGGTATCAGCAGGTGATAAGAAAAAGGAAAATGTAAACTGAAAATTTAATAAGAAATCTCTATAACAGAACCAAAAATGTTATTCTTTTTTATAAAATGGGCCCCAAAGGAGAGATGAAATACATAGAAGCATGGAAACATTTGAAGTTGTAATGACTCAGAATTTCCCTGGATTGGAGCCAATAAAAGGCTTAAAATCAAAATGACTAAGAGAATATAGGAGGAAAAGAGTCCTCTGCTTAAACCCATTACAGTGAAATTTAAAGCCATCAATGACAAAGAAAATCTAAAGTGATTTAGTGAAAAAAACTCATTACCTACAAAAGAACATGAGTCAAATTAACATTGAACTTACTACTGAGACTGAAGTCAGGATATCCATGACATAAAACAAAGCAATTAAACTTCATCAAAAACAATCCAGGGTTACTAATTCTAGATTATTCCATATATCATATCAGGATGAAAGTGGAGGAAGTACCAGAAGCAGGCTTGAATAAGCAAACGTATTTTAGAAGATGATAAAAGACTAGAAAAAGTGGGCTAATTACTCAACTAAGTAAAGTAGAAGAGGAAACCCAGAATAAATTGAGAAAGTTATAAGGAAAGAAATAAAAATGCATAAAGTATAGGTACCCAGTTCTTTTTATGAAGAATTATGCTGACTCTGTTAACAGGCAGTATAATTGTAGCAGAAGAAAATAAAGAATGAGACAACAGAGGCTCATTCTGTATTTGAACATAGATTCAGCTCCATTTTCATGGTTTGCACTCTGGTCTTTGAACATAGATTCAAAAATTCTAATTAAAAATTATCCAATTGAATTCAATAGTCATAACTAGTTCATTGTGGTCAGGTACAGTTTATTTCAGAAAAGCAAATAGTGTTGAAAGTTTATTAATGCGATTTAACACATTAATGGACTAAAGGCTATTTTTTACAATAAAAATTTTACACAATTTTTTGTGTGAAAAATTACACAATTAACTCTGTCAAGAAGAAAATACTTCCTTTTTGCTCATTTCCACTTGGGATTTTAAAAAATTTTTAGGAAACTAAAAATCTAAGGCATTCATTGACATGAAAAAGGCTGCATGTCAAAATCCCGCAGCAAACATCAAGGATATACATTGTGTTTAAATTCCAAAGCAAGAAAAAATGCATGCTATACTACACAAAAATGTGATCTAACAGGTATTGCAAACCCTGAAAAATACAATAAGACAGGAAAAATAAATCAGAGGTATAAGGATAAGAAAGAATCTTAAAGATAATCAAGGTTACAGAACTTAATATCAATACAGAATCACTAGTATTCTTCTAGATCAACAAAAGCCACCTAGAAAACACAAATGAAAATAAGATCTCCCAACAGCAGTAAAATAAGTAATAATATCTAGGAAATAGTATAGAATGAGAAAGACTCTTCAATGGAAAAATTTGGAACTTTAAGAAATGACATAAAAATACTTTAATAAATAGGGAAATTGGCAAGAAAAATTTAATAGGTGTTAGTTTCCACAAATTAATCTAGAATTTAATATAATTCAAATTAAAAATTCAGTCAGTCTTTTTGGGGGAACTTATTTAAGCTGCTGTAATACAAAATATGTAACACTACCCAAAACAGTGTGTTACTAATATCAGTATGGGCAAATTCATCAGGCCTTAGAAACAGACTTGTGTTTATATAGGAATTTAGTATATGATAAAGACGGCACCACAAGCTACTTGGGAACAGAATGCGTTGTTCCACCGAAGGCACTGGACTAGAAACAGTAAAGGGGAATGGAACAGTAAGTGGGGGAAATGAAGCTAAAGCAGATCCAGATGGATTAAAGACCTAAATCCACCTGAAGTCTAATAGTGAATGCAAAGTTAAAAGAATAAGGAGCAAGAAAATATTAAAACTCATGCATACACACCAAAAGCAAGACAAAAACAAATGGGTTAAAATTTTAAAATGAAATTTTTTGTAAAAAATCTAAATAATTGCAAAATAACAGCTAAATTATTGCTAAATAATTGTTTTAATATTTGCAACATTACAATCCAAAAATTGGCAAATATCTACACTATAAGGGAACTTTGAGAAGTTAAAAGAATTTAAAAAATGGGAATAGAAAATAGAGAAAATTCGCAGAAGAGAAAGACTAAACAGCTAACGTGTATACAGTGATAATCTACCTTTGTACCTACCAGAGGGATGTTTATAAAATTATTTTGCAGCCATAATATTGGCTGAAATTAGAAAGTTAGTTAATACAATGCTGTTAAGTTCTAGGAGGCTCTCTTGCACCAAGCTCTCAGAGTATAGATTGGTTCAGCATTTTGGAGGCAACTTAAGAGTATTAATTCTGTATATATAAACCCTAAGATCCAGCAACCCCCCTCTTGGGCATATGTGCCAGACACAAACCTGGCTATGGTTCTTTTTTTTTAAAAAATTTTTTTATTATTGTTGTAATAGGGTTACATTGTGACATTTATAAAAGTGCTTATAATTTACCATATTTGAATTCACCCCCTCCATCATTCTTTTTTATTCCTCTTCCCCCCAATCCTGAAATAGTTTCAAGAGGTCTCATTTTTCCATTTACATATATGAGTACATAATATTTGTACCACATTCACCTGGCTACAGTTCTTGTAGCAGGGGTTCTCAAAGTGGACCACCAAACATCAGTGTTACCTAGCAATACGTTTAAAACATGCCTGTGGGACTAGGGTCCAGCACTCTGTGATTGTGATACACACTAGAGTTTGAGAACCATTGACTTAAAGGAGTGTTTTCACCAGAGAAGTTAGCAGGAGTTCACATTAGAAGCAACTTGGGTGCTTATTAAAGGAAAGAAAAGTTAAACCTGGCTAAACTAAGGTATGCCATGCAGAAAACTAGTTATATACAACAGCATTCAGGGATCTTAAAAACACCACATTTGGTTATAAGTAGATGTATACTATAAGTAGATATATAACCCAATAAAACTTAAATAAATTTAAAATATACATAAAGAGAAAAACTATTTTTATGCATATATATGACAGCTAGCCCGTACTGCATATTCCTTGAACAAGCATTTTTCCAAATGCTTCACTTAGGTTAACTAATTCATTTACTTCTCACAAATCCTCATAAAATACGTATTACCATTGTACAAGAGGAAACTAATATATAATAAGATTAAATAACTTGCCCAAGGTCACACAGATGCTAAGGGACGCAAGTGAGATTTGAGTCCAGGAAAATTGGCTTTGGAGTTCAGGTTCAGAAGCACTATATCTAGTATCAATCACACAGGAATATATTTACAAGGAGGAGGAGGTAGAGGTGTCAAGATAAAAGACACAGGGACCAATTCAGGCTATAATGTATATATACAAGGAAAGGTCACAGTGAAACTCCTTGTATAGCTATTTAAACAAACAAAAATGCCTTTTGTCAGAAAAGGAGAACAAGAAGGTAAAACAGGTCCTGTCTAGGGGGGTGGTACCAGTGGGAGGAAGGAGGACATAAGGAAGGTCTGTAGGAGGGTGAATATAGTTGAAATATTCTGTACTCGTGTATGAAAATGGAAAAATGAGACATGTTGAAACTTTAAGAAGGAGGAAGGGGATAAAGGAGAATGATGGAGGGGGTGAATTCAACTATGATATATTGTAAGCACTTTTGTAAATGTCACCATGTACCCCTAGTACAACAAGAATGATAATAAACATGAAATGAAAAACTTTTAATATGTGAAAAAAATAAAAGATATAGGGAAAGCAAAGTGAAATCATTTAAGGGCCTTTCCTATTGAATGGCAGGGTGCCAGAAAGAGCAACCTAACTAACGTGATTATTAACTTGATTTGTTTTTTTGCACCTAAACTATCGAAGTATGTGACCAACCAAGCAAATAAGCCTAGAAGTTTCTGTTCCCAAAGGGATAGACTGTAATTTAATGCTTTACTATTATTTTTGCCCATCTATCTATCTTTCTTCCATGTCTTCATTTCATCAACTATTATTCAGCTTTTTTTGGCAACAGTTTTATTTGACTTTACTGTAACTACAATCTATCAAAAATACAATGTGCAAAAGGAAA